AGATGCCTACGGGAAACTCGTCCGAAATCGATTTACAAGTCACTGAGAACGGAGGCTTTTTCTTCGCAGGATTTTGACCGTTTCACTCCGTTCTTTCGCCATTTCCCCACTATACAGCGCCCTACTAGCATTTTAGGCTAAGTAGGAAACCATCGTGCCAACTGCCTTTAACTTACCATCTTAGTAATTGCGTGTGAGCATTTTTTAATTGTTTATTTTTTCTTCAGATGTGCAACGGATTCTCGAATTTGTATTCTGTCATTACAGTGGCCATGTAAATGGAGGTCTGAGACCGTCGCCTTCCACCAATACTCTAAATAGGCTCGCTAGGGAAAAGATTGTTCTGTGGAGACAACCTTTCACAACCGTATACTATGCGCTGATGGAGGGACTCAATTTGGGTCTTGAGTTTCTAACTGGGTGAGTCACTCAGCGTGTCATTTTTCAATCTATCCTTTCATAGAGAAACGATTTGGCCATGAGTCACAGAGAAGTTGAAGCTTTTCTGGAGTTCTCCGCAATAAAAACGTTTGTTTCAGCATGCTTAATCATAAGGCTTTATTGTTTTCACTTTCAATTATGTCATCGTTGGTCTACTATGCTTATATTACGCCTGGACCTCATCAGCAATATATTGCTGTAGTTGAGAAGAAAATACTGTGGTGAGCCGTCCTCTTAGTGAATTTTGTTACCAGTTCTGAGTTGGATGATTGCCAGGAGTACGAGCCCAAAATAGGCTTGTATTCCGGCCCAGACCTTGTCTAGCTCGTCCCACATCCTGTATTGCTGCCTTTTCTTTCGTTTATGGGCTCAGATATCCGAAGTTTGAGCTGCTAGTTTTTCTGAATGCACTGCATTTTCATTTGAACCTTCAAATGGTAGTAAGTAAGTTGGAGCCTTGACGCCTTAATTCTAGTTATTATTTCGCTTTCTCATTCGGCTAAAGAGCCCTTCGGTTATGTATTATACCTAGCCAAGGTCATCAGGGGTAACCATATGCGCCATCTTTTTTAATAATTTATCTGAAATGTCGCTATTTCCGCACAAAGAGCAATCGTCCTGCATAACGTGTAGGCTGTAGAGTAGGTATCTTCTTCAGGTGTGTCCCACTATTTCATTTTTTTTCTTCCCAGAGCTAGTCCCGCGCCACCGAAGGGTCCGCTGTTCTTGTTAGACGTCTCCAGTTTCGTTGTGATGGGGTTCTCCATCGCCCAGCTTGCCTACCTGGGCGTGAAGCCGGAGTCCATCATTTTCACAGGTTTTCCACAACCAAGGCACTGTTAGAGCCTCGGCAGGGATCGAAATCGTGTCTCAGAGTACGGACTTGAGGCTACTTTCTTAACCGCTCGGCTCTCCCTGCCTTACCTCCCTCTATTTCTTGGAAGTTTACTAGGTGAAACTTATAGAAATCGCGCTCAACGTTCCTGATATTTGTCATTGCAGGTGGGGCTGGTGGGTATTTCTTGGTGTGTTGTCCTCAATTTGGATTAGGATCTGGTTTGCATACGTTCCTGATTTACTTGGTGAGTTTAATCTCGTTTTTATTTCTGCGCATATTTTCTGCCATACTCCTTTTTTCGGAATTTTTCGATCGATTTCCTGCTTTTTTTTCTCCTGTTCCATGGCGTTCCTGTGAAGTTGTCAGATTTATATAGGACTCGTTTACAGGGGCCACACATTGCTGCTGTTACGTTAGCCGCGTACGAGTGTAACAGCCTCAACTTCCCAGAACCACCGTATCCGGATAGGTCAGTTTTCATGTTCAAATTATCATATTATTTTTAACGGCTGTTGAACCGAATTCTCTTTGCCTACTTATCAACGGGCGATGGGAAGAATGAGTCCAACTTCTTCTTATTTGTGGACGGCAGTGAAATTCACGGCACTGTTTACGCTTTACTGCCCCGCTTTTCGAAATTTCGGCCAGTTTTCGATCGAGATTTCCCTCGGGTAGATTTGGCTAGAATTTTGTCCATGAGGGTGATTTGACTACGAAAACACTAATTGTCCGCATAGCTTCTGAATCACCTGGCGCCCGTGTTACAGGCGCTGGCGCCAGGACATCTCGAACGCGAAATTTATTGAAAACTTATCCCCATGCGCATTTTGACTTTCTGAGCACGAATATCACACTAGGCTAGCGTGAAAAAGTTCGGTACATGCACTACTAGCGCTGGCTCTACAGTGTACTTTTCACTTTATATGGATCCAGTATTCGTGTCCAGAAGATCAAGTTGCCATTCGTGCGCAAAGTTTTGGTCAAATCTACGTCAGAGCGAAAATCTTGGCCGACGTCTCCTCATTTTCGAGTGAAGTGGGGGAAGTGAATGAATGGTGAATTGAGCCTGTCTCTTCCAACTATTCGATTCGGAGGCATCCCATGTTTCGGGGTGCGGGCTACACCTTCCAAGCCATTAGGCCCCGTGCATACTGCCCGACGCAAGCGATTCAACGTGACTGTGTCCAAGAGCACTCCATCTGTAATTTCTAGACCGCTGCAACGCAAGAAGTTACCTTAAATCTGCTAGCTTTTTGAAAGTGACTGGATTTGCGGTTACAGCGGTCTAATAAGCGGGAGCGGTCCATCGTGGATTTGTAACTCCTGCAATTCTCAAGTCGCGAAGTATGAACGTACATTTGGCGTGGACACTATCACCTGCGAATTTTGAGAAACCGCAGGTACAAGTGTCCACGAAAAGACTGCCAAGGCTGTGTCGTACTCCCTGCAGCCATAAAGAAAGCCCCAAATGAATGTGTTCTATAGGTAAAGTGCAAGTAGGTTGATAGACGCTTTTATCGTACTGTGTGGCAACTGGTGGGCCTGGAACCGGGAGTCTCCCAATGTGATTTGAGCATTATTAGCTCTGTGCTTGTTTCTATGAAACTTTCATTTTCAGCATTGTTTGTCCGAGTGGAAAAGCGGAGGCCACGACATCAATAGCGATTTCTCTTTGGCAAATCGTCGCCAAGGTAGTGATCGTCTTTTTGAAGATATTTTATCTGGGCGTGGTTTGTCTGATGTTAAGCTGAGCTCAATGAGTTACAGGTTCGAGTAGAGTCGTTGTTATGGGGAGCTGGTACTGCTCTCGGTGAGCTACCACCATATTTCATGGCAAGAGCAGCTCGACTGAGTGGTGAGGAACCCAGACGACGAAGAGTACAAAGAGTTCATTCAGTTGATGAACGCACATAAGAAGGGTGGTGCTGATGAATTGGTGAGTACGTGATGGTACCACTATAGTTCACAGCTTTTTGTAATTAATTTCTTTTCTCTAAAAATTGCTGCTCTTCCTTTAGTCGTGGGCTGATCGTGGAAAAGCTTGGATGGAAGGGTTTATTTCGAGAGTTGGATTTCCAGGAATTCTGCTTTTTGCTTCGATTCCTAATCCACTTTTCGATCTCGCCGGTGAGTAATTGTATTCTTATTCCATTATCTGCCTTGAGTGCATTGAGCGGGGAGGGTTGTGATTCAGTTGCTGATTGCAAGCTGAATATTGTTTTATTGTCGGGAAAGCCTAGCCTAACAGACTATGACAACAGAGCTTTCATTTATTCACACGAAGTTTGGAGGAATAGAAGTTGTTTCGATCTGGGGATGTCTGGATGGTTTAGCCAAATTTTTTGTTGGGAGGGCGGATGCGATCGCGCTGATCAGTGGTGACCTTTTCGACAATTGTGTCTTTTCATTGGTGGGCTCTCCTTTTTGAAAGCAATAAAGTGGTTACCAATGGAGTACCGTAATAGTCCCAATGACTTCATCAGCGCTGAATTGCTTTTATGTGGATGATTTACACCATGAAACCAGGATTTATCAATAAAAACAATCGGTTTTAAGGAATTACGTGTGGTCATTTTCTTGTTCCCTTCTTCGCTTCTTACCGTGCGACACTGATAGGAAAAGCTCTTGTGAAGATGCATGTACAGGTTTGTTCCTTTTTAGTTATAGAGCTGTTTTACAAGAAAAGCGTCATGCCATCTAAAGACTGCCCTCAGTTCTCCGCAGCCTAGGGATTCTTGATGCACTAGCCACCGTGCATCCACAGCATTTTCAACTTATTTCTTATTACCAAAATTGCGAAAGGACAAAGCTTTAATCAACTTTTTTTCTGGGCTGATAGTCCCGTTGTCCCTTTGACTTTTGAATGTGGTGGGCAAATTCAGTGACTTGTGGGGGCAGTTGTATGAACCACTGTTTTTATCCTCTCGTAAAGAAACTAGATGCACTTCAGTCCAGCACAGGAGGGCATGAAGGCTTAGCTAGCCGGTGAGAGACCCGATTCCGGGTTTTCCCTCGGACGGCGCGTGCAAATGCCGCAATTTGTCGCTACAGCACTTTCATGCTTGTTTTTCGATAGTCTAGTTAATTGTGACTCTTCGGATTTGGATAGTCGAAAGCCTGCTATAAAAGCTCACGCAGTTTTTTACTGAATTCCAGTTTCTAGGCAAGTCCTCGGATTACTTGTATGGAAACTTACTAGTGTTTCTTCACACTCCCTGTCTTACCTACATCCCTGCTAGTCTCTTTCTACATTGGGCGTTTGTATTAGGTTGATCAAAAAGTTTTGATGGGGTTTTTTGAAAGTTCCAAACTTTCCATTCTTGATCGACACCCAGATGACACATACCATGTTGGGCAGTTATTAGAACAGTTCTAGAACCTTCGAATGGTATATACCATTTTCACTTTAAATCGGACACTTTTCAAACCAAATCGGACACTTTTCAAACCAAATCGGACACTTTTCAAATCAAATCGGACACTTTTCAAACCAAATCGGACACTTTTCAAACCAAATCGGACACTTTTCAAACCAAATCGGACACTTTTCAAACCAAATCGGACACTTTTCAAATCAAATCGGACACACCCCTTACAATTAGGTGGTTGATAACTAGACCACACTAGGTACTGTTGCAACAGCTCGCCCCCATTATCCCGCCATTCTCACGGACAGGATTTTCCGAAATGCTTCATGAAATCTGCTCCTTCGACTTTTTTTCGTTTTTGCCCTTTGCACACACACTTCAACTGAAAAAGATTGATACCTATACAGATCTGACTCCGCCCACTTAACAATGAAGTTACGTAAGTTCTGATTTTTATAACTTTTTCGACGTAGTTCTTTTCACATCCAATCTTCACAAAACGAATAACCATGCACAGCACACCAGGCCCCGCCCCTCTGACCCCGCCCACTTGTGTTTATCGCGGAATTTTGGTTTTTCTTCCCGGATTTTCGCTTTTTTAGGCTTTAGCGATTGGCTCCGCCCACCAATGGAAGCTCCGCCCACTTTGGGGAAGCCCCGCCCACTTTTCGAAAATGATGCAAATCGGCGGGCTAGTGTCCGTACTGGCGGATTACGGCCTCTCCCGTCGCTCAGAACAAAGTTTCCCTTTTTTCCGGTTTCCTTTTATTCTATGTGCCGGGAGAGGCCGTAATCCGCCAGTACGGACACTAGCCCGCCGATTTGCATCATTTTCGAAAAGTGGGCGGGGCTTCCCCAAAGTGGGCGGAGCTTCCATTGGTGGGCGGAGCCAATCGCCTAAAGCATTAAAAAGCAAAAATCCGGAACAAAAACCAAAATTCCGCGATAAACACAAGTGGGCGGGGTCAGAGGGGCGGGCCTGGTGTGCTGTGCATGGTTATTCGTTTTGTGAAGATTGGATGTGAAAAGAACTACGTCGAAAAAGTTATAAAAATTCAGAACTTACGTAACTTCATTGTTAAGTGGGCGGAGTCAGATCTGTATAGGTATCAATCTTTTTCAGTTGAAGTGTGTGTGCAAAGGGCAAAAACGAAAAAAAGTCGAGGGAGCAGATTTCATGAAGCATCTCGGAAAACCCTGTCTGCTGAGAAAATGGGGGCGGGATAAATGGGCGGAGCTTTGCTCAACAGTACCTAGTGTGGTCTAGTTATCAACCACCTTATTGTAAGGGGTGTGTCCGATTTGGTTTGAAAAGTGTCCGATTTGATTTGAAAAGTGTCCGATTTGGTTTGAAAAGTGTCCGATTTGGTTTGAAAAGTGTCCGATTTGGTTTGAAAAGTGTCCGATTTGATTTGAAAAGTGTCCGATTTGATTTGAAAAGTGTCCGATTTGGTTTGAAAAGTGTCCGATTTGGTTTGAAAAGTGTCCGATTTGTTTGAAAAGTGTCCGATTTGGTTTGAAAAGTGTCCGATGATTTTGAAAGTGTCCGATTTGGTTTGAAAAGTGTCCGATTTGGTTTGAAAAGTGTCCGATTTGGTTTGAAAAGTGTCCGATTTGGTTTGAAAAGTGTCCGATTTAAAGTGAAAATGGTATATATAGTCCGCGCTCCCTCCTCTAGCTTAACTCACGATGTCAATTCCACGAGACCATGCTCGATAATCATCTTCTACGAATGCGCCGCCGGCACCGGCAGCAACGGCCCAACCGTTTCGCAAATTAGCCGTATGGGGAGGACACCACTTCCATCGTTACGGTCCATCGCTGGTTCGCTCGCTTCAAGGAACGAGACATGGACCTGGAAGACAAGCCTCAGTCGGGACGCCCCCGTCGACGACTCCGTCATTCTCGAGGCCGTCAAAGAGGATCCGGACGTTGACAACCGCACAGTCTTGCGGGCGAGACTTGGGTGTGCCCAATCAACAGTCGTCGATCGCCTTCAGGCTCAGTCCAGAAAAGTGCGATAGGCATGCGTATACCTCGGGTTTTGTCAGTCTCTTTTCTCCGCCCTTAAATAGAAAGGTTTTTGGAGGCAACGCATTACCGGAGGTAATAGCTGGATCCTCTACGACGCTAACAAGCACCGCGCCGTCTGGCTCCCGCGAGGAGAACAGCCGCCGACGCAAGCCAAATCCGACCTCCACCCCAAGAAGTTTCTCCTTTGCCTGCTTCTGGGATTCAAAAGGAATGCAGTACTACGAACTGCTCAAGCAAGGCCACACCGTCACCGCTCCCTATTACGCTGGTCAGCTGCAGAAACTTGCGGAAGCCGTTCGAGAAAAACGGCCTAGACGAACTTTTGTGCACCTCCTCATGACAACGCTAGGTCTCACATAGGTAAGAAACCCTTGCCGCAAAAATTGAGGAGTAGTCTGGGCCACACGTTCGCACATCCATCTATTCACCTTTATTGCCCCATCAGATTAGCACTTGTTCCGGCCCCTCAAGGCTTTCCCAGCAAAAAAAAACGATTGGTCAACTATGACCACCTTGAACAAGTGGTCGGTGACTTCTTTGAACTCCGCAATCTCTCCCATTCATTGAGAAGGGAATCGCTGCCTGGCCTGCTCAGGTGTGGGACAATGTTATGATTAACGATGGTTATTAGTAGTTTGATTAGCTTGTTGGGTGAGTTGTTAAAATACAACAGAAAAAAATCTCAACCCTAACAAAACTTTTTGATCAGTCTAATAGTAAGTGCTACAGTAGGTCATCGGGCACGATCATTTTTTCGCCCAGCACTTGTTTGAGTTAGATGTTACCATTTGTCGTCGCGTACATTGTGTTGACCGTTAATCCTAATCCCAATGCAGAGCATTATTTGTCGACCTGCACTCAGTTTTTCACGTATCTGGGATTGTTTCTCCGCTTGCAGTGATTGCGCGGAGCGTGGGGCGTAGAGTTGCTGCATTCGGCATGGAAGCACTTAAAATCTCGTTGAATTTTTCGCGCTCGTTATTTTAGTATCCAAACATGCCTCAAGCGCCCTACACAACAGCACTCCACGCCCGATTACGAACACGCATACCCACGTTGTGTCCTCATTAAGGTATAATGATATGAGCCAGAGCTACCCGAGAAGACCATGGCCGGAGCTGACGATGCCGCTCAGCCCTTTTGAAAACTGTCTGAATCCGCTCCTGCAAAGACGCTTCGCCTCTCTCGCGCCTGCCTAAGCCAGTCCCAAAAGAGAAATCGAAGAAAAAACATGAGAAGGGGACAATAATGGAGTAAAAGATGATCTCTGGCCTTCGTCATTCCCTTTGTGGGATACTGGACGAACTCTACTCCCATTCGGAATCGTAGGGCTTTACTGAATGTGAATGTAGCTGCATACAAGATGCATGAACTTGCCAGGGCTAGCGACGGGCAGGGGGAGCGACGGGGGGCGACCCTGGGCTTGAACGGACGCGCAAGTAAGCGTGCCCACCTGCCACTACCCTATCTCTGCCTTCATAACAAAAAGTATACTGTTAAAAAACGAGTAGAAACCTGCCTTCCCTTACAAAAAGGCTCTCAGTGCTTACTGACAGGCCTACTCAATTCTTGGAATCGCTTCATGCAGACACCAGGTCCGCAGTTACGACCACTCTCACCGTGGTATACAGGGTGTAGCACTTTTAACACAGCATCGTTGTTTCAGGCATAGCATAGAGCGTATTTTTTTGAGAAATTTTCGATTATGGATTTCTTTTCATCGTTTTTCCGTGGTACAGATACCCCTCTGCTTCTGCTTGATATCCCAGTACTAAGCATTCATCTTCACCTTAACTATGTCGCCTGTCCGGAAAGTTCTCAGCCTGCACCTATTTTTGTACATTCACTGCTGATTAAAAACTCATTCTGCCTTGCTTCTCAGTAGCACATCCTGTAGAGAATTTCTTGCGCTATCTGATGGTATAATTGCCGTTTCACCATTGCTTGATAAACCCCCTTTTTTCAAGATTTTTTCAAGCATGTGTGAAGAGAGCAGCGACGATTTTTTTCTTCGACTATAAATTGGGGCAATCCGCAATCGAAACAGCTCAACAAATTAACCAGGTGTGGGGCCCAATAGTGCTAGAGAAAGCACTGTGCGGCAATGGCTCAACAAATTTCGTCTGAGATTATCAGCCTTGAAGATGAAACCTCATAGCTGATACCTAAAGCAAACATCGACGAGGATTTTTGGAGGCTGTCCATCAATGAAAACAGCTTCGAGAGATTGCAGAAAAGCTAGGCGCTTGGCAAATCCACTGTTGCAGATGTCTGGAACGCATTGGGAAGGTGAAAAAACTCGACAATTGGGTGCCCCACAATCGGAGTGACCGGCAGGAATCGGCACGTCTCGAGGTTCCTTCTGCATTGCTTTTGCGCAGCAGAAACGACCTGTTTTTGGACCGAATTGTCACCTGTGATGAAAATGGGTCATGTATGATAAAACAGGAGACGTTCCGGACAGTGGTTGGATTTCGACGAACCACCGAGGTAATTTTCAAGCCGAACCTCACGAAAAAAAATTCTGGTCACGGCTTGGTGGTCATCGGCTGTGTGATCCACTATAACTTTTTATCACCAGGCCAAACCATCACAGCAGAACCCTACTGTGAAGAAATCGACGAATTGTACCGAAAATTTTGTCAGATGCAGCCAACACTTATCAAAAGAAAGGGTCCGATTCCTTTGCATGACAACGCCCGCCCACACGTTTCACAAATCACTATCCATAAATTGAACGAATGGGGGTTGAAGTTCTACCTCAACCGCCATATTCTTCAGACCTTTCGCCAATCGACTATCACCTTTTCTAACATTTTCAGAACTTCCTTGCTGGAAAATACTTCATCAATCAGGACCAGGCAAAAAAGCCTTCGTGGATTTCGTGAATTTTCGACCACCCAGTTTTTTTTGATGGGATTTCTCGACTGCTGTCACATTGCCAAAGTGTGCTATTCAATGCGTCGATTCGATTGAAATCTAGAGTCTTTAAGAAAATTACGATCGTTTAAAGTGAAACACCCAAAACCCTGAGAACTTTCCGGACAACCTAATACATGCACTAAACCTCCTGCTTGTGGTGAATAATACTAGTAATACTAAGCAGTATGAGTCGTCCATGAATTATAGTGCAAGAACAGTTCTGCATCATTTCTTATCTCTGAACATCATTGCCTAACCCCGCATAAGTGTCCCCTTTTGAATAAACTTTTTTCCGCAGTTGTTCTTCATAGGCGTCCCTCTTTGCTACTTTGCGGTTAATACAATGAGCGTCACCATCATCTTGCCATCGTGCGCTATGCCTTTAGGGGTTATCCGATTGCTTTCTGTGGAACCAGCGTTTGCATTTTTTGTAGTGGGAATTCCCGAAAAAGTCTGTTTCGCAACTTGGTTAAGCAATTAGAGCGTTGCTGTAGTGAGAGAGTCGTGTGTAGGAATAAAAGGCTTCGTGAAATCGCTATTGTTTCAGCCAAACCCTCAGAGCCTCTCTTCTCTCTCACAGTCCACGATTCCCGATTTCGCAATGCCATTGTGTGCCAGAACCCTCCGAGATGCTTCTTCTAACAAATCCATGCGAGCTGAGGGGTTTTCAAGCGGCGAGGAAAAGCGCTTGCAAGGGCTTTGATGAAATCACTCAGACCGCCCCATTGCAAGCAAAGGACTAGGAGTGACGGGCGAGGATCCGTCGCGTTGGACATCGTATTAGTTTAGCGATTGTCCGAGCCAAAATGGCGCGTGGTGCTAGTGATGAGTCGCGATATGCTAATCCTTCCGACCAAGTTCGGCCCTTTTCGGCGGAAAGGATTGTTTGGATCGATTGTGGCCATACAAGTATAGTTTAAGGGATGTTGAGGACCGTATAATTCTACGATATGACCAAAATTTATCCCAGAGGCGGCTTGATCTTGGCTCAATATTTCGATGCCTAGATAAAGATGTCTATCCCGATAGTGCAAACCTCATACTTCTGCCCGAAACAGTTGTTGTTGTAATACCCTCATCAAAGAGGAACTGCACCTTGGGGTGGGGAGGAGTTTCTCCCTAGATTTATTCCCAGGGACAAATATATATTTGTTTACTTATTTATTTAATTGTGAAGAAAAATTGACCCCAAATTCCGAGGAGAAGACAGTCAAAAGTCAAATAGTGTCAGGTGAATTTCACATTCTAATCTTTTGTTTCAGATGCTGTTTGTGATCATCGCGTTCAGTGAGCATCATGTAGAGAATCTCTTACATCAAATGGGTAAAATCCCATATGTTGGCAATATGATTAGGCAGCCAATCCGAGAAATGCTTATCAAAAGCAAAAGCTAGCACCTTCATCAGCCCAGGGACGCATGTTGAACAAGGTAAAGTTTTCGACGATTATCGACTTTTTGGTGGTTGCCGCATCGCGACCGCGCGCGCCTGTGTTTGTTGCACTCAGGTGCAGCCGCACTTACTGGTTCATTTTCAGACGACATCGACATTGCAGACGATTCTCGGTGGCATAGTGACATTAATGATATTCGGTTTTCTGTTATCGCTAATCAATTCTCTGGCCCAGCGCTATCATAAGCGCTTGTGTGATAAGCCGAAAAGTCGCCTGAGACGTTTAACTTATGAAGATTGTCAGTATATGTCCCTATTCTTCATCATATATGGGTTGTGAATGTATCCCGTACCCGCGTGTTGTTATACCTCGGGTTTCGCTCCCAAAAATCTAAGAGAACTTCATAGGTGGCGGCTCTCCACCGTATTCCCCTTGTATCACGACATCCGACGGGTTTTTCTCGCTGTCGGGCTCTTCTTTCAGGAATTTTCGGAGGCTAACCATTACGCTGTCTTCCCACATTGGATTACTCCTTTTGGCGCGTCTATGGACAAAATGTGTGTTGACCGCGCGTGCGCGTAAAATCGATACCCCGCGCGCGTAAAGATCGATACTCCGCGTTTGTCTTCG